GTCCAAACAGATCGAAACCTCCTGCAGACATGGTGAAATGCCAAGCTCTTACTAATCAATACAAAAAATTAGCTGGATGCTGATTATGCATGCCTGTGTCCAGACTACGCGGAGGCTGAGCAGGAGGAATCGCTTGACCTAGGAGCAGAGGTGCAGTGAGCGGCAAGATGGCACCACGTGCAATCCAGCTGGTGACAGAGGAGACTCCATCTCGAAAAAAAACAAAAGAAGCTCTTTAAAAGAACTGAAAATAATTACCAGAAATGAAAGGCAGTTTTAAAACATTGGCTAGCTGGCGCGGTGGTCAAGCCTGTAATCCAGCAACTTTGGGAGCGCGAGACAGGCGGATCACGAGGTCAGGAGATCGGGCCTCTTGCTACCGGTGAAACCCCGTTCTCTACTAAAAAATACAAAAAACTAGCCGGGCGAGGTGGCGGGCACCTGTGAGCGCTAACTTGGGAGCTGAGGCAGGAGAATGGCGTAAACCCAGGAGGCAGCGCTTGCAGTGAGCTGAGATCCGTCACTGCACTCCAGCCGTAGGGCGACAGCAGCAAGACCTCAGTCTCAAAAAAAAAAAAAAAAAAATTGGTGCTGTTGGCCGGGCGCGGTGCTCACGCCTGTCAATCTCAGCACTTTTGAAGCTGAGGCAGGGGACCACGAGGTGAGAGATGGGACCATCCTGGCTACGCGCAGGAAACACTGGCTCTCCTAAAAATACAAGAAAAATTAGACCAGGCGTCGCTTTCGGTGGCAGGCCTGTAGTCCAAGCTACTCACGGAGCTGAGGGCAGGAGAATGGTGGGAACCCAGGCAGGCGGCTTGCAGTTAGTCAAAGATTGCGCCACTGCACTCCGCTTGCGCGCAGAGCAACACTCCAATCTCAAAAAAAAAAAAAGAGAAAGAGAGAGATAGAGACCATCCTGGCCAACATAGTGAAACCCCATGTCTACTAAAAATACAAAAATTAGCTGGGTGTGATGATGCATGCCTGTAATCCCAGCTACTCTGGAGGCTGAGGCAGGAAAATCGCGTGAACCCAGGAGGCAGAGGTTGCAGTGAGCCTAGATTATGCCACTGAACCAGCCTGGGCGACAGAGTGAGACTCCATCTTAAAAAAAAAACGAAAACAATTTGGTCTTGTGGCTGGGCACGGTGGCACACACCTGTAATCCCAGCACTTTGGGAGGCCGAAGCCGGTGGATTGCTTCAGACCAGGAGTTTGAGACCAGCCTGGCCAACGTGGATAAACACTGTCTCTATAATAAAAATACAAAAATTAGCTGGCATCCCTGTAGTCCCAGCTACTCAGGAGGCTGAGGCAGCAGAATCACTTGAACCTAGGAGGCAGAGATGCAGTGAGCCAAGATCATGCCACTGCACTACAGCCTGGGTGACAAAGAGAGACTCTGTCTCTAAATAAAGAAATAAAAATAAAAATTGGTGCTAAGGCGTTGCGCCTCAGAAGAGCCTGAGCCGGCCAGTCTGCTGCATCCCTGCCATGTTCCCCACTGCGTCCCCTGCCAGGACCAACTGACCTGAGCTAGGCTGCCATGGACCACAGCCCCTGCTGCGGGAGTGGCTGCCCACCTACAACCTAGGGGCTGGCCAGGGCGACTACGCACTCAGCTCGCATGGCTACGGCGTCACCCCTGCTGCCCACCCCTTGCTGCTGCCCACCCTCCCCTTATGTCATCACAGGGATACCCACCCACCACCCCAGGGTCTACAACGGCCACAGCTGGACTATCACTTGGTACCCCGCCAATGCCACTGTCATCATGAGAGGCTGTCCCGTCTGCAGGGACAGGGTGCTGGAGGACTGCTTCACTTTCCTGGGAATCTTCCTGGCCATCATCCTGTTCCCCTTTGGGTTCATCTGCTATTTTGCCTTGAGGAAGTGAAGATGCCCCAAATGCGGAGCAGCCTTTGCTTAAAGGGAACGCCACGCCTGGCTTTTCTACACCCAGCTGTCTTTTTCTAATGTACAATAGTTTTATTTGATTAAGCTTCAGGACTGTTTTGTAAAGTGAGGTGGGATAGATGTGGCACACGGGAGCTGCGGTTTCCTGGAGCATGGAGAGGCAGCGCTGCTGCTCCTGAGGTTAATGACAACTCAATAAAGCACTGCTTTTATTTTTTGCAGTCTTCAATTTGAGAAAGGTGAGATATAATGTTTTCAATAAATGAGATTCATACCATTAAAAAAATAAATAAATAATAAAAATACAAATTGGTGGCCAGGTACAGTGGCTCACGCCTGTAATCCCTGCACTTCGAGAGGCTGAGGCGGGGGGATCACGAGGTCAAGAGATTGAGACCATCCTGGCCAACATGGTGAAACCCCATCTCTACTAAAAATACAAAAATTAGCAGGGCATGGTGGCGGGCGCTTGTAGTCCCAGCTACTTGGGAGGCTAAGACAAGAGAATCACTTGAACCCAGGAGGTGGAGCTTGCAGTGAGCCGAGATCGAGCCACTGCACTCTAGCCTGGCGACAGAGCGAGACTCCATCTCACACACACACACACAAAAAGCCAGGCACTGTGGCTCACACCTGTAATCCTAGCACTTTGGGAGGCTGAGGTGGGCAGATTGCCTGAGCTCAGGAGTTTGAAACCAGCCTGGGCAATGTGGTGACACCCCATCTCTACTAAAATAAAAAATAAATTAGCCAGGCGTGGTGGCATGTGCCTGTAGTTCCAGCTACCCAGGAGGCTGAGGCAGGAGAACTGCTTGAACTCGGGAGGTGGAAGTTGCAGTGAGCCGAGATCGCGCCACTGCACTCCAGCACTCCAACCTGGGCAACTATCTCTACAAAAACAAACAAAAAACAAAAAACAAAACACCATACAGTCCAGCTGCATTTTCAATATTCATTCAGAGGGGCAGAGCCTGCCTATGAGGTTGTGAAAGTCCCACTGGAAAAGTGGGGAACCCCTCCTAGCTCCCCTCCCTGCACAAAGGTCTGGGGAGGACTGGGTTCTCTGACCCAGGTCCCGAGGGGCCCACTGCCCTTCCCCTAGAGCTGGATTGCTGAGTTGTGCCTCTCCTGGGTTCCCAGGGCTGGGTGGGACGGCCCTTCCCCTAGAGCTGGATTGCTGCCTTGCACCTATCCTGGGTTCCTTCCCCTAGAGCTGGATTGCTGCCTTGCACCTATCCTGGGTTCCCAGGGCTGGGTGGGACTGCCCTTCCCCTAGAGCTGGATTGCTGCCTTGCACCTATCCTGGGTTCCCAGGGCTGGGTGGGACGGCCCTTCCCCTAGAGCTGGATTGCTGCCTTGCACCTATCCTGGGTTCTCAGGGCTGGGTGGGACGGCCCTTCCCCTAGAGCTGGATTGCTGCATTGCACCTCTCCTGGGTTCCCAGGGCTAGGTGGGACTGGTGCCTGTTCTCCAGCTCCCTGTTTGTGGCCAGATTTCCCAAAACGATACTGGCCACAATTCCCACCTGTTCTTCCAGGGTGGGGCCAGTTCTGCCCCAGCCTCCCAGCCACCTCCCATCCCTGGGTTGGATTTTCCAGGTGCCTTTTCTCGCCCTGATCTCACAGCCCCCCAGCAGTAACACTCCCCCTGTGGCTCCTGCACACCTGGTGCTCTGCCACACATGCCAGCACGCTGGCTTTTTCCTAGGTGTCAGCAGTTCAGGAGGAGAAGCCAAAACAACACAACAAATCAGGATGTACTTGGCAGTTAGCTCTAAATAAGTTACCCGAATGACAGGACTGCCAAAAAAGCCGATTTAACCTTCAGCAAAGACACTAAATCTGCCTCCGTGGCCACCACCTCGGCCGGGCCTGTGGCCATCACTCCCTGGAGTACAGCAGTGGCCGTCTTACTAGATCCTTGCCTCAGCCCCTGGCCACAGTCTATCCTCACACAGCCAGCAGGGTCCTGTGAAATCCTAAGTCCCATCCTGTCCCACTTCTCTTCAGGAACCTCCTGGGGTCCCCACCTCACTCACTGTAAGAGCCAAACACCTTCCATTGGCTCCAAGCTGACAGCAGCTGACCCCATGACCTCCCTGACCTGTCTCCACACTGGCTTCCTCAGCAGGGCTGATCAGGTGGGGTCTAGCCTGCCCCAGGCCCTTTGCACTGGCTGTTCCACTTTCCCCGGTGAATCTGCACAGCGGCTCTCTCCTTTGCCTACCTCCTTGCTAAATACCTCCTTGCTAAATTGTTACCTTCTTGGTGAAGCCCTTGGCCACCCTATAAAACGCTATACTCCACCCCCAATTTCCCTTTTCTCCTTTCCTTCCTTTTTGCCTCCACAGCACATGTTACCTTTAGCAAATAGTATTATTTTCCTTCTTCATTTTATTTCTTTGTCCCCTGCCAAGTTGAATGTCAGCTCCATGAGGACAAGGCTTTTTGTCTTTTTTGCTCATAGTTGAATCCCTAGTGCCTAGAACAGTACCTGGCATGTAACAGACAGGTGCTCAATATTGGCTGCATGAACCTCAGGTGGTAGAGGGGAAACAGGGAAAGCGGTCAGCTGCAAAAGCCCCTTCCTGCCGCACCTCTTCTGTGCCCCTTTACCCCTCTAGGGGCTGCGGCTCAGGGCCCTCCCTGTTTGGGTGGTCAGCCCCAGCAGCCTGTGGACTTTGTGGGGCTGTGCCTGGGCCGTGCCTGACTTGCCCACTGTCGTGTCCCTGGCTCTGGCAGCAGGGCTGGACTGAGGCAGGGTCTCAATACCTCCTTGTTGGTGACTGGATGCCGGCCAGCGTAGGGGCCCCAAGACAGAGCAGGAATATGAATCAGACCAGGTCACTCTGCTGTGGCCCTGCCTGCACACGATACAAGGGGGGTCTCAGGATCCCTGCCCACCTCTCTCACTGCCCTCGTACTGCCTCTGCCTTGACTTACTGTGCCGCAGCTCGCTGGCCTTCCTGTGCGAGCCAGGCACTGTGCACGTGCTGTCTCACCTTGTCCCCCCACCCAATGCTTGAGACAGGGATGACAGTCATCCCATTTCACAGACGGGACATTGAAGCAGTAAGGGTCCGCCTGGTCCTGAGCCATATCTTCCCATTCCTGACGTGCCTCCCTGCCTCATGGGCCTGTGCCCCTCCTGCTACCAGCCTGTCTTTGGTGACCCCTTCCCTAAAGCTGCCCTCCCAGTGCCCACTCTGCCTCCTTCTCCCACACTTCCTACCCTCTGCTTCTGGCTACGTGGCATTTCCTAGGCTCTGCCTGCCAGGGACCCCCACTCCAAGGACGCCCACGTGGAGTTGTGTAATGGAAACAGCATAGTCTTGAGGGCTCACTTAGATTTGGCGTGGGACAATTTTATCTTGTTTTCTATTCTTATTCAGAATCAGGGGTGTTGTGGATATTCAAATGATGAAGACACTAAGCATGATGCTTTACAAACATCTGTGCTGCTCCTATGCCTTCTAACCCGGGTAGGCCCTAATGCTGATGTGGGAACCTCGACCATGGACTTTGTGTGGAATCCTGGGGCTTGAAGACGGAGCAGAGAAAGCCAGGGAGGGCCCCACCCTGGCCACCACTCCTGAACCCTGGATACATACTCCGAAAGTCCAGCTGCAGGGACAGGACATCCTTGAAGAGGATGCCCTCCTGCTTGGCCAGCTGCCCGGCCTCCTCCTGGGGGCCCTGCTCCCCGACAGCCAGCTTGAGCATGTCATCGTCCATCACCCTCGGCTCCATCGAGTCACACAGCCGGTTCATCTTCTCCCACGTTTTCCCTAAAAAACACCACATTCCTCCTTCACAGCCTGCTTCTTGCTCTGTTTGAGGGCAGGGTCTGGCTGAGGTTTCCCCCTACAGTGTCTTTGTGGCCACTGGCACTCTGAGGAATGCCCTACTCCCGGCCCTGGGTCTGCTGCATCTCGGGGTTTGTATACTTACACCAAGGCTGCTCCAGGGCTTCGTGGCAACCACCTGGGCCTGTCCACAGGGTTTCATCCCTTGACCCTATAGCCACAGCTGGGACCCTCGCTGGACCCACTGGACTGGTGTCCACACTGGTCTCCTTAGCTTGTGATCTTGGCTCATCTTATGACTGTGGCCCTGTGTCAGGCCTCTGACTTTGTGTGCCCATCCTCATTTGGGCTTGTGGGTACCAACCACGGACTGTGCTCCCTGGGCAGCCCCAGCCAGGCCTGTCAGTCTGCAGCTCCTCTTCCTTGAGCACCTCATTCCCTCCAGGCAGTCATGTGTGTACGCCCCCCACCACACCACAAGCTTCTCCTGGTGCAGAGGAGACCCAGGCTGACCCTTCACACCCTCCCCGTGGGAGATGTGAACTTGAGGCTGTGGAATAAGAGTGCCCATCGGAGCTGGCTGCTTGAGCTGGGTAGAAATAGGGAGTGTGGACTGGCTGGGTTAAGCAGAGAGCAACAGGGGGAGGAGGCAGATGCACAGAGAAAAGCAGAGATGGGAACCTGGGAACCAGAAAACAAACGACAAAGGACAGACAGATCGACACAGACAGAGGCTGCCTCCTTCTTGCAGGCTTTCCAGTCCCTAATGTCCCTAGGTCTAGGCCTCATGAGAGTTTCCTGTTTCTCACATGAAATCCTCTGTTACTTAAGCTAGCTCCAGTAGGTTATTTTTTAATTAATTAATTAATTTTTTTTAAACAGAGTCTCGCTCTGTCGCCCAGGCTGGGGTGCAGTGGCACAGTTTCGGCTCACTGCAACGCCTGGATTCAAGTGATTCTCCTGCCTCAGCCTCCCGAGTAGCTAGGATTGCAGGCGTCCACCACCATGTCTGGCTAATTTTTTTGTATTTTTAGTAGAAACGGGGTCTCACCATGTTGGCCAGGCTGGTCTCAAACTCCTGACCTCAGGTGATCCACCTGCCTCGGCCTCCCAAAATGCTAGGATTACAGGTATGAGCCACCATGCCCAGCTTCCAGTAGATTCTGTTACTAATGGTCCAGAGGGAAATGACTGAGACACCACAGCACAGCGGGGATCTGTAGATTTGGTCAGTCACACTGTGAGGCTGACTCCAGTGGCTGTTCGTGGCTGGACCACATTCTCATCCTTAACCCTCTTGGTGAGGACATCCAGGAGGGATATTTTCCCCCACTTTCCGCCCCTGATTCTTGCCTCCCTGCTGGCCCTACTTCCTATCTTTGTCCACATGCCTCCCCAGCATCCGGGCCTCCCTGAACCTCCCGTCCTTCTGCCCTGCTGGCCCCTGATGCTAGGCAGCCCCTGTGCTCTGCTTTTCATTCCACTGGGCACTGCTGGAGCCCTGGTGCAGGGCTGATGGTGTCCGCTGAAAAGCCAGGTTGGGCCATACAATCCTGTTACCTGGTCTTAGAGACTTCCCTCTAAGACTGCCCTCCTCTTTCCTACCCAACCATCCACTTGGATCCAGCTTCTGCAAATATGCATCCTCTGCCCTGAACTGTCCCTCATAAAATGTCCCAATGAGCTCTTGTGCACACTTCTCTCTTGCTTCCAGGGGAGGCATAGCCTCCACACCCTTCAACCCCTAACCCTTCTCCACCTGTGCCTTCTGTCTTTCCAAGACCTTGGTCCTTTTCTTCCTACTCTCTCCAATCTGTTCACACTGGCTCCACCTCGTTGGGGTGACTGATTCTACCCCCAAAGACAGTTCCAGCCCTCGGCCTCTCTCTCTAGCTCCCCACTCTTGTGTAGTGGTTTCCCCTAAGGTTTCCCATAACTTGTCATCAACTTGTCTTTGGGGAAATTTTAATGTGTTATATTTGGCTGATATTTTCTGCAAAGTGTTTGGCTTTTTTTTTTTGGCCAGGCGCGGTGGCTCACACCTGTAATCCCAGCACTTTGGGAGGCTGAGGTGGGCAGATTACAAGGTCAGGAGATCAAGACCATCCTGGTCAACATGGTGAAACCTTGACTCCACTAAAAATACAAAAATTAGCTGGGTGTGGTGGCGCATGTCTGTAATCCCAGCTACTCGAGAGGCTGAGGCAGGAGAATCGCTTGAATCAGGGAGTTGGAGGTTGCAGTGAGCAGAGAGCGCACACCACTGCACTCCAGCCTGGCGACAGAGCGCGAGACTCCATCTCTCCATCTAAAAAAAAAAAAAAAAAAAAAAGGTGCTATACTTTGGGAAATGACTCTTAATTTTGATTTGATTTCAAAACTTTAACTGACTTATCCCTCTTACTTCATCAGGGCCTTGGTACCTGTGACAGATCAAGTTTGCTTTCAGTCAAGCCCAGCAACTGCTATGCTAGGAAATGTGGGATTGTTATTACATATGCTATTTTATAAGCACATCAGGGCAGCATTTGGATCCTTACTGTGCATCTTTTAGTAACTCACTTCACCTATCTAAGCCTTGGCTTTCCCATCTGTAAAAGGTGGATAATTCCTCCCTCCTGCATTTGTGTGAGATCACGTATTTAGTCCAAACACGGGTAGTGAGGAACTGCTACATGTTGTGAATAAAACAGATGGATTTTTACCCCTGCTTCAGGCATGAATCAAACAATAATACAGCTATTTAATTACAAACCATGACAATTTGTAGGTGTAGGGAACTATGAAATCGTACATTAAGGGCACCTGGCCTGGCCAAGGAAGACAGGGCTGATTTGAAGGACAAGTAGGAAAGAAGGAGGAGATAACTTTGTGGCAAGGCCCTCGAGGTGGGAGAGAACAGACGTGTTGCCCTTTGGCTGAAGTGATGCAAGGTTGGAGAGGTCTATGGGATTTCTGTTATTATCCTAGAACCCCTGGAAAGCACCTAGGGCTTAATAAGGGCAGCGACATTAGCTGGTCATGGTGGTGCATGCCTGTAGTCCCAGCTACCTGGGAGGCTGAGGCAAAAGAATCGCTTGAAACCGGGAGGTGGAGGTTGCAGTGAGCTGAGATCATGCCACTGCACTCCAGCCTGGGCAATAAGAGCGAAACTCCATCTCAAAAAATAAAAAAAATAAGGGCAGCAATGTGATCAGATCTTAGTTTTTAAGAACTCACTCTAGCAGCAGTACTGAGAATTGCAAAAGTACTGAGGTGAGAGATGACCAGGGTGTTAGCAAGATGTGAATGGGAGAAATTTCTAGAAACTTAACTTCCATGTAGGGCTAATAATCACCAATATCCAGATAAGAAAACAGAAGCTAGTTAAAAAGGTTAATTAACATGCCCAACTTCATACACTTAGCATATGGCAGAGTCCATTTTCCTAATCATGACTCAACTGTACCCAGGGTACTGGGGACTATCGTTGCCACAGCTCACAATGTTTCTCACAGTTGTCCTGGGTTCAGGTCCAAGGCCCAAACAGTCCTCCTCTATGGGGATCTTAGTAGTTTACCACCCAGCCTGGGTCCCCTTTGACTTACCTGATGATAGTGTTGTTGAAGACCAGAGAGGTTGGAGCTGGGGAAAGCAGCAGAGTTTTACACAACTATCAACGGAGTAGCCTCGTCGCAGAGAACAGATCCAGAATTTTCCTGGGAAACGATAACCTGGGGTCAACAGGATCTGAAAACTATAGTCCCTATTGGCCATGAATTGATAAGAAGAAAATTGGTTGGGTGAGATGGCTTACACCTGTAATCCCAGCTCTTTGGGAGGCCGAGGTGGGAAGATTGCTTGAGCTCCGGAGTTCAAGATTAGTCCGGGCAACATGGCAAGACCCCGTCTCCATTTTTAAAAATAAATAAATAAATACTGAACAAAAATTGTTTTTAAAAGAATAAAATCAATCACTTACTGAATGCTTACTGTTTGCTCAGTGCACAAACATTATTTAAGTACATGTAAGCTCCGGAGGCCATAAAAAAGGAAATCCTAATGCCCTTATTTCCCAGCTAGGGAATCTGAGGCTCCAAGGAGGGAAAGGAACTTGTCCAAAGTCATACAATGAATTACTGACAGAGACAGATGCAGAACCTGAGTATCCGTATTCACATCCAAAGCAGTTTATACAGTACCAAGATGAAATCATTTGACAGTTACGAGGTGAGATATGATGGCTAAATTCTGGGAAAAGTTATCAGTGGACAGGGTACCTCTCTTTTATGAAAGGAGGCTGGAAGATGGAACCCCTTAAAAGTCGATTCTAGCCCTGCTCCCTCGGGAAATGCTCCCTTAGTATTTCTTTTTTATTCAAAAGCTTGATAAGCCCAGGACTAAAGGGTCTTGGCTGTGTCAGCACGACTGTAAAGTGGCTGGGAGAGGACCTACGTGCTCATTTTATGAGAAGGGCCGGGACGGCGTTCTCCGAGAAAAGGGTCACAGGAAAGAGTTAAGTCGGGCGCTGTCTGTCCCTGCGAGTCCTCCCTGAGCCTCAGCTCCCAGGTCTCACCTTCTCAAGCGCTGGGAACTCCGCTGCTTCCACGCAGCTGACGCGTCTCCCGGTTGCTGGGGAACCAAGCGCCGCGACTTGGTTGCTAACGGGAAGTCAGGAGTGAGACATCCTGGGTGAAAGTTGACAGGTCACGTGACCACATCTCCGGGTGGGGAAACACTCCTAACACCAACCAGCCGTAGAGAAAACAAATGTTTCTCCAATCAGCACTTTCTATGGGCGGGGATATTCCTAGATTCACCTCTGTTCCGTCCTGCTATTTGAGTGATTGACTCGTCTTTTGTCCAATAATAGTAAGAATCCTTTAGATTGACCAATATTCTGAGGAATCAAAATGCGCAACTTCCTCTTCGGGGGCGGGCCAGGGGGAGGTGCCACCACGGCTGACAGGGACTCCGGTGACCTAGCTCGCTCCTCGGCCCAATCGGACGCTGCGGGGTGGGTGGGGGCTTTGCTGACGGAGGTGTAACGGCCAATCGGAAGCGGGCTTTGTAGGTGTCCCCCAATAGAGACGCGGTAAGGGGGCGGGGCCAAGGTCCCGGCGCTCGGCGTTCCAGAGGGTGGGGAGGGGGCAAGTGTCAGTCAGGACGGGAGTCCGGCGGGTTACCGCTGAGACCTCGGTGGCAGACAGGGGGCCCGGGCCGCTGCGTGTTGTCCACCCAAGATGGAGTTCCTCCTGGGGAACCCGTTCAGCACCCCGGTGGGGCAGTGCCTCGGTAAGGCCGCGTGTGGGGCGGGAGGCTGGGCGACCGCGGCAGCTGATCCGGCTGGTGAGGACCGCGGGCCGCCTCTGGGCGCCGGTGCCACTTCACGAGCGGGCTGGGCCTCCGCCAGGCGCGGGTGCCACCCCACGAGCGGGCTGGGCATCCTGGTCGTCGGGCCTTCACTGGGCGCCGGTGCCACCTCACGGGCGGGCTGGGCATCCTGGTCGTCGGGCCTTCGCCGCGCGCCGGTGCAACCTCACGGGCGGACTGAGCCTCCGCCGGGTGCCGGTGCTATCCCACGGGCAGGCAGGGCATCTGTGTCCTGGGGCCTCCTCCCGGACACTGGTGCCACCTGACAGGCGCCAGTGCCACTCTGCCAGGAGGCACCCCGAGGCCCAACTTGAACTCGGAGATGCCCCAGGCTTCCCTGCCCATCAGGACTCAGCCCTTCCTTTTGCTCCTAGAGGTGGTACCAACTGCTGGTCTGCTTCCTCAATGCCCTTTGGGAGATGCCACTGCATGTGTCTTTATCCAGCCCAGCAAGCTTGCTGCCACTGCCCCAAGGACCTAGTTCTCCCAGACCCTTTGTGGGATGTCACCTTCTTCTCCATCTTTGTCCCTCCTCTTCGGTACCAGCAACCAGCAGACTGGGCACCCTCCCAGAAATGCCCCCTGCTCCGGGACTTGCTAATTTGAGCTGCAACTCAGCTGGGCTGTAGGAGGGACTGGGATGGGAGGAGGGGCTCTTGGAGGGTGATTATCTTGGCAGGGGGATGGCATGCCTGCAGTGCCTCCCAGGAAAGAAGGGAGGCTGTGTTATTCAATGATAAGAGCCCTGGTCTGGGAATTATGGAAGCCCAGACTCTAGCAGTGGTTTTGCCAGTGACTTCGTATGACCTTGTGCCCTTTCTGATTTGAAGTTCCCCTGTCAAAGTGTTTGGAGATGACATGTGGTAGGTCCCTTAAAGTTCTCAAGTTTTGATATTCTTTGTAGTACTCTGCACTTTGACTGCTGCTCCCTCCCCTACCTCATATTATATTTACCAAAGCTGAAATCTTTTGTTGGCAATGTAGAGAGAATGTTATTCAGGATTATCTGTTAATCCTACAGAGGGGATGTGGACACCTGGGGACACCAGAGATGGCCAGAATCCTGGATAAGGAAAGCCCAAAGTGTAGGTTAAGGAATACTGAAATGGCCACCATATGGGACTTCCTTAATAAAAAAGCAACTTGCCTTTTCACCCGAGGCAGTGGCTTATGTCACTTGATCAGTCAAGAATGCTGATGCATTTGTTTGAAAACTGGGTTCCTCCTGGTTGGTTGAAGGACTGGTAAAACATCTTTTATGAGCCAGGATCTTTGGTGTTCTTATGGGCCTGATTTTGGCAGTAGTGATTTGTTTATTTTCTGCTTTGCTTATGAAATTCTAGCTTACTTTCCAGCCTTTAGTGGGTCCTGGGAACTTATTGAGGTCTCTCCTGTTAGCTAATTAGCATTTAGGAGCCTTTCTTTACTTTCTGGCATAGTATCTTTTTTAATGCATGATGGACCCCAAAAGAGTGTTTTCCCACCTTTTTGACATTTTGTCCCTTGCTGCCCACTGGAGAGTCTCTGAATTTTCACTTCCTAACTTCTTCCTCGTGGCCTTTCTCACTCTCTTCAGGTTCTCTTGCGTGGCAGCCACACTCCAAAAACTTAATTTCCAGCCAGTTAATGGAGGGAGCCAGAAAACTTGGGGGAATTATTTTCTCTTCTGTCCCCTTTAAAATAGGAAGCTCTACACCTTTAAAATGACAAGGTCGTAGATGAGGGGTAGAAGTTAAAGGGGATTTAAAATACAAGTATGACTGGGCACGGTGGCTCATGCCTGTAATCTCAGCACTTTGGGAGGCCAAGGCGGGCAGATCATGAGGTCAGGAGATCGAGACCATTCTGGTGTAATACATTGAAAACCTATCTCTACAAAAAAAAAAAAAAAAAAAAAAAAAAAAATTAGCCAGGCGTGGTGGCATGCACCTGTAGTCCCAGCTACTCAGGAGGCGCTTGAACCCGGGAGGCAGAGGTTGCAGTGAGCTGAGATTGTGCCACTGCACTCCAGCCTGGGCAACAGAGTGAGACTCCATCTCAAAAAAAGCAAACAACAACAACGAAAAACCAAAAACAAATATAAGGGATGTAGGGATATATAGCAAGTGGAAAGAGCGTGTTATTTCTGTTAGGAAGACCTGAGTTGAATTTTGACCTGGCCCGTTTCTTGGCTGTGTGACCCCAGAAGATTGTGTTGCCTTTCTGAGGTTTAGTTTGTCAGTCTTCTGAGAGAGAGAGAGAGAGAGAGAGAGAGAGAGAGAAAGATTCATATTCACAGAGTGATGTAGTTTAAATGAGATAATGTATGAAAACACTTAGCATAGTTGAAGGACTGGTAAAACATCTTTTATGAGCCAGGATCTTTGGTGTTCTTATGGGCCTGATTTTGGCAGTAGCGATTTGTTTATTTTCTGCTTTGCTTATGAAATTCTAGCTTACTTTCCAGCCCAATGCCCTTTGGGAGATGCCACTGCATGTGTCTTTATCCAGCCCAGCAAGCTTGCTGCCACTGCCCCAAGGACCTAGTTCTCCCAGACCCTT